TATCTGAAATAAAATAATGAATATTTCTTTTTTATAGGATGCACTCCAAGCACAGATGGTTATTAGAAAGATGAGTGAAATAATGGATACTGCTAATAAAGAAGAAGATACGCATGATACGACTGTTGCAACCGGATCTATTCCTGATCAAGAGAAAGCAGTCGAGGTACAATTTTGGAAGTAGTATCTCAGGACAAAGTTAACTTAACATATATAACAAGAACCTGCAAGCTTGATTATTTCAAAGTTATGTGTTTAACCCGATTATTTACTAATCGCTGTCTTGCTTGCCTAAACTAACACACAGCATTCATGAAGGAAAAAATCATGTTATTACAACGGTTCCCATTTGTCTGTCTTTTACTATCTTAGTTTACTACGTTACGGCCGTCTAGCGCAGATTTTCCTAAGCTCGCTGTGCGCAGTAAAGTGGGTCCTCCTAAAGAGATACGCGAATCTGAGAAAGTAGTGGACGAGAAGGTCACTCGTCGTACCGAGGAATATCTTGACGAAGTGACGGGCGAACGTCGTGTACGAACTGTCGAATACGTCGAGAAGCTCATTGAGCGTCAGGTATTATGCTTGTAAAATTTGGCACGAGCGTTTAAATATCACATTTATTATATAAATGAAGGGCACAATAATAAATTATCACTGTTGCAACTATCTCTGGAGCGCACCGTATTTATTCCGATTCTTTTTTTTATCTTTTTATTTTATTTACGGATATAGATGGATATGTTCCATGCCAGATCGCATATGTTTTGGGAAATTTGCGAGCTTATAAGATATTAACATTTTGTTTGACAACTGATTGTTTAAAAAACTATAACTGTCGATAACATTAAGTAAAATGATAGGGAGTAAATTACAAGGAGACATAATGCTGAGAATCTAAAAGGCACCTAAACATAAGGCAACATTAATTAAATTCAACATATCTTATACGCGCGTATGCTATAAAACTACTTTACGAAAAATGTTACAAAATTAAGAAATAAGTGTTTTTACTTGTGTTTTTGTCTATATATATCTATGTAACATCTGTATACTATATTTGTTCAATTATTATTGTGTTATTGTTATTTTAAGATTCCGTCACTTACATCGATGGTACATTATGCACCATCTTGAACTATGAATGTTACTTCTACTGATCTCACTAACAACTTTTTCCTACTCATTGGTAATTTGGTTTTTATATATCTTATGTATATATTTTAAGCTTATGGCTTTATGTAGTATATGCATGACTTGTTTTGTTTATACGTTTCTATGCTCGATATGTTTTTTGTTGCATGTACAGACGTAGAATTGTACTAAAGGAAGTAATGGAAGTCAGGAAACATAGGACAACTAATATACTTTTTCTATCAAAATTGGAATTTTATAAAACCTTTGAAGAACAGAAATAAAGAGTGCCGCTGATGTAAATCTGATAATATACATCAAACAGATATGATAGAAATTGATATGTCATTTGATCTATGTGTAATCTCAAATCTTAATATTAAATTATCAATTTATATATTCTACAGATATTATAAGGTTTATTAGATTGTCTGTTGCAAACTATAAAAATGTTTTAATTGCATCATTTGCAACATATGCTTTATAAATCCAGAAATCCAGAGATTTGCGTACGATTAACTATGATTGAAATTTATAATTTTTACATTTTTTAATTAGGTGGAAACTTTGAGGGAGAAGATTATATCATTGGAATTAAGCAATGCAGAAGAGGATGTGGAAAGCATAACCGGCACTGGTGCAAGCGATGCTGAAAGTGAAAGTGAAGATACTACGGGACAAAATATGACTGTTAGTAGCGTAAAAGAAAAAACAGATTCTCATTTTACCACTGACACATCTGAAATTGCAAATGAAACATCTAAAACAAATGCAAATATTACTGCTACATCTGCAAAAAAGAAGAAACGTAAACGATCAAAAAAAGGTCGTCACTGACAAAATATTTCAATATGTCTCTTAACAAGTGATAGGTACATTGATGTTAAAGACTTGGATAAAAATCGATGAAATTTTTACTATTCCAATATTTTACTACTGCACAAATTCATTGTGTAACATCGTTTTATGTGAATATGCATACATTTATGTTATATAGATAAATTATACATATACGCACTTATATGTATATTTCAATCGATTCTTTTTAGTTTTCAATGCATCGCTATATATTATTGTCATATAACATTTCTATTTCATCTTTTTTTTTCTTCACATAAATGTAACGAGTAATATGATTATATAAAAATGGCGATCTGGCTCTAAATAAACGTATTGTATTCAATGAAAATGTAGTAGGTATTTATACAAATACTTCGTGATTGATTCAGTGAATACAATACATCCATTATCTGTGTAGAAGTATAACTACTATTTTTTTATTACATTTTGTGTATCATTACACATGTAATACAATTTCGTAAATCTAATGTGTTATAAATTGGTAAATTTGCATATTTTGATATTAAACATTGTGTTACTGTATTTTTGTATGTTATCATCGATATATTTAACAATTAATTCATAAATTTCGCTTAAAATTTTGTTAATCGCGAATATAAATTAATTAAATTTAAGAAAGAGATTAAAGATAAAAAGGGTAATCAAGTAATATCTCAGTGACAAAGAATAATACATGGAAATCTATAACATTTATGCCATTTTTATTATTTTTTTAATATGTTTTAGTATACTCTAATTTTATTTAAAATACATGGATATATTTTAATATAATCCGTTTTTATCTTTTGATGATGTGTAATAATTATACACATACGCAATGGTTATATATATATATATATGAAATACACATATTGAGGTATATATATTGAGGTAAAAGACATAAAAGATATACTAGCGAGAAATTGTCAGACGCCATTGCATTTTTTATTATGCGCATGATAAGAATCATACACTTCCGTTTTTCCATAAAATCTTTGAATTTTTATAATCGTTACTTTGAAAACATGCTTTTAATATATTATAAAACTATACGATTATCATGTTTTATATATATATATATATATAATTACGATTATATTTTATAACTGTGTGTAGTGTAACATTTTTTCAATGTCCATTGTCATATACTGGTTATTTGTATTCATTGAAACAATGAAACATGTTTTAAAATTGTTTTTTCTATAACTACTTTGCTAATATGATATGAAATTATCAATAATCTATTGCTGAAATAATGTTTAAATTGTAGACTTTAGATTGGCCAATTGCTTACCTTATTTGTAGAATATTTTATTTATTTGATATGATTTTAATATATAATTTTTACGAAGATATTTTAATCTATAATAGAATAATATAGGAAAAGCAAATTTATATTATATGAGTCAAATAAGAAAATATTAAATTTCGATTTACTTTAATGCAAATTATTTGTATTGAGGAGCTATCTATTGGGCAAAATAGACGTAGATTATTATATACAATTTAATAATTTGAATATATAATTAGAATGAAGTTTACATCTATTTCTATACATATTTAATACTTTGAATATATTTTTATTGCATATATGCCAGACTGTGAAAAATTTAAGACATCACACTTTTTTATATAATTTATCATTTATAATGTATTCGTAATATTAATATTGTCTTTAAGAATATTATTTTATACCGAATATTTTTTTACATTTGTTAATCAAAAAATATGCGGTTAAAAAAATATATTTATTTGATAGTTATACATAATATAAATATACATGGAATTTTTTCCAACGAGTGTAAATAAGTAAAATTAAATAAAATTGCGATTTTCTGCTGTTTAAAGTGCGATTAAGAATGAGGGACCAATGAATGAAATTAAGTGAGTTCGTTCATTATATATAGGAAAGGCACTTGAAAAATACTGTATTATTGATAATGTTCAAATGTTAGAATGTTAAATTCTATCCTTTAGAACATTAATTAGTGTATTATGTATTAGCATATATAAGCGAATGAAGAAAAAAAAACCAAATTTTATTTCACTAAACCAATCTAATTGAGACATTTTTATTTTTAATTATCCAACACACGTCGAGACTATTTATTAATACATCGTAATTTTTAAAATCATTATTTAATTATATCATTGTTGTGTAGAAATATTAAAAGTGCCAATGTTAGTACTTTTTCATATAAGAATACATCATATATTTCGTTAAAATATCTAATTATCACACAAATTTATTATACAGTTACTTATTTCACTGTCTCTCTTCCTCAATTTTATTTCAACAACGTAGTGCATCATTATATCATATAAATTGTACAACATAGATCCAATACTAATCTATTTTTTACTCGTATAGCAAGATACAATTCTTGTCTCAACTCTATCGAAGTTTAATAATGCGTTTAAATGTGGATATTAAATATATTTTGGTTTTGAAATGTTTTTAAATGTTGCAAAATATTATTAAATTATTAATTATATTATGTATTAACTATGCATTTTAATGAAATCTTATGCTTTTATTTCTTTATTACTATATATATCTAGATTTAAAAAACTGGAGGGGAATATAAAGAATGCCGAATATCTCATAAGCATGATGTGAAACATAACATAGATTAATAAAATAGATTAATAGACAAATCATAATTAAAAAAAATTAATTATGCATAAATCTTAAGTTTTCTTTTATAGATCTGTCTTTTAAATTCTTTATTATTTATAAATTGGAAAAATATCCTTTTCTCTCATGAATAGCATCATAGTATGTTCGAAAACAAAAGATTTTATGTAATTACTGTTACATTGTATAAGTGTATATTTTATATTTTTTCCTATGACTTTACCATTGTGAAAATTTACAAATTTGAGTGGTAAAAAGCAATAATGTATCTTTTAAGATATTTTACCAAGAGTTTAAGATTTTAAAACATAAAATGGTTATGTAAAAACAAAAATAATTTGTGCACTTATTTGTAATAAATAGTTGATATTTTATTCATATGGATGTGCATTTATTGAGATCTCGTATATCTTTATTCCTGTTCAATAGTTATACTATGTTACGTTAAAGTTTGTTAATTATCATCAACTGCACAGAAAAACTACACATACATAATTCTCTAGATAATATATATTGTGAACATCATAAATATTATTTGAAATGAAAATTTTATCTGCAGTTACTTTTTTGGTGCTATTATACCTTCCAATTGAGTCTGAAAAAAAATTATAATTGATTATGTATATAATATGATGATATTATTGATTTATGTGATAAAAAGTTTTACAATATGAATAATACAATTTAGCTCATAATGATTTAGTAAATTTATATAGAAGAACCAAATCGAAAATACATTTTGCAAAGCGGGTATATCTTATAATTATATTATTTCATTTTATGCATTTAAAAATATTGATATTTCTGTAGCTCTCTGTATATCTATATTTAGGTATCTAGATATCTATATTCATGCAATTAACTTCTTTCAAACAGTTAGATAAGAGACGATAGTTAAAATACGAAAAAAAATCTAAACATAAATATTTTGAAATGCTTAAAATACAGATATATATACACATACAGGATGTCATTAACCGATTAAATCACCCATTGTGAGCAGGTAGAGTGAACCGAACTGAGTCGAAAAGTCCTGTACCATTTTACAGTGGATGCAATATTTAACGAGATACTAACGTTTAAAGATAGACGAATACATACGTCCGACCGGCTTACTCCCACCTACTATTACCGGAAAAACGGCCAATCATGCCCACCGATCGCACGGCGCGCCGATCGGGTCGCGAGGAGCAGAAGAACAGAAATGGGCTAACAGGCGCGCCGTTCTGACAAGTAACACTACCCAAGTGTTAATCACCGATCGTCTTGAAATTTGGTCTACATATTCTTTAATGGAAAATATTTGATACGTATTTTTTTATATCGGCTAAAAAACATTTTAAGGGGGCTAAAAAAATGTTTTAACATTGTAAAAACTACTATCGCAACGTGTATATTGTGTCACCGTAAAAATTTTTTAATATATAAAACAAGAAACAAAAAACAAAAAAACAAAATAACAAAACTAAAAAATAAATAAAATTAAAAAAAAAATGGGGTCTATAATAGCACTGCAACCTCCTCGCGGTAGACCCTGGAAACTACTATCACAGTAGGCTAACTGCAGGCAAAACAAAGAAGTGTATTTTAAAATAATTATTTATTCTAATTTTGAAAATCTGACTCCAAGTTCGTATTAAGCGACCCCAAAAACACCAGTATTCACATTCTTATGGAAATTAAACAATTTCTTGAAAATTCGTCAGCCATATTGGATACGACATTTTGAATTTTAAAATTCTGACTTCAGATTCGTAATCCCCGATACCAAAAACCCCCAGGTAATACATTTCAGCCAATTTTAAATGTATTTTTCAAACATCCAAGCAAGAAGCCCACGGTGACACAATATACACGTTGCGATAGTAGTTTTTACAATGTTAAAACATTTTTTTAGCCCCCTTAAAATGTTTTTTAGCCGATATAAAAAAATACGTATCAAATATTTTCCATTAAAGAATATGTAGACCAAATTTCAAGACGATCGGTGATTAACACTTGGGTAGTGTTACTTGTGAGTGGCGCGCCGTTCTGAGGCCGGGGGATCCATAGTCCGTTCTTAATCTCAAGCAAGGTTTTAAGATGCTAATACGGCTCTTTGATTGGTTCATACACTAGCCTAAGACCATCTCGAATCTTGAACACCATCTATGAATTCCGTCCTGAGTGGCTCGCCTGCCAGGCCATCCCCACTCCTCGCGGCCCGGTCGGCACGCCGTGCGATCGCCGATCGGTGGGGCAGTGATGGGCAGTGTGGAAATAAAGTGACGCGTGCGCACTGAACAAACGCTGGCTGCTCAGTAATGTATGTATCTGGATAAAATCTGAGATATCGTTAGGCCTCTAGCAAGGAAGGAAATATGAAGGGAGTTACAAAGAGAAGAAAGTTCGGTAATTATTCAGAATACCTCCCTCACCTCCGATTTCGATGAAATTAGGCTTATTCGACGCGTTTTTGCACAAAACGAAAGAATCTG